CTCCTCAGGGCTGCTCTCGATCAATCTGCGCGGGTTGAGACGTGCTGCTCCTGATTCACAGCGAACACGCGTACGGACAGTCGCTTGGAGAAGGGAAGGCTACTTGTTACTAAGGGGAAGTTCTTGGAGAAGCGTTGTCCATATGCACATTTCTTGTTCCTTTTCTCATCTCTCCTGGAGAACCACAGGTAGAATTTAGGGATTGTTTGGTTAGGATGAAATACGGTTATGATGCCGTCTGTGATCTGCCGTGACTGTCTAGGTTGCTGGTCACAGGGAGCAGGGCATGCTCGCCTGTTGTGTCAACACACAGACTATTGAAACCTCCTTTAATCTGATACTGATTTTTTTAAGAGCATGCCAAACATAACAAAGCTTGCATTTAATTTCTGTGCACCTCTGTGTCTTTAGGCACACGTATGCATCGTATCTGTGATTCTGTCAGCAGCGAGTCAGAGTTAGTGCAAGTGCTGATTTCTGAGAACAAGACTTGGTTTGTGGTTTGGCCGTCTCAGCCGCGTGGCTGCAAACACCCCGCCCTCTTCAGCTGACTGCCCCGGTGGGTTCTTCCGAGGCAGCGGTTTAGGTTGCCCTGGAGTGTCTCCGAGAGCCTGCCTTTTCACTCGTAAGAGAGGATTGCAGAATTTCATACATCAACCTTCTGATTCATTGCAGAGCATAACCTTCACGTTAAAGTTATGAGCTTTCGGGTTAGAATTACGGTTGTGTATACCAAACCTATAAAACAGCTCGTACGAGCGCTTGGCTCGCTGTATTTGGCATTAGCAGCCGAGATGCTAACCTGGAAGAGCTGACCCCTGTGAACCAATTTGTCTGGCAACTACCCGGAAATACGAGGTGTTATTTCCTGATGAAGTTCTTTGGAAGCTTCACTGGAGATGTTGTAGTACAGAAGTATAATAAATAATGTTCTGCCAAATTACCAAAGTTGCCGTTGTTCCTGGAAAAAAAAAATGGCCATGTCAGTGGCATTTTGCAACCTGTGATGGCTTTATGAGGAATTTCACGTTCCCATTCTCTGTCCCTAAAGCTTGCAGCATAACTCTGGGGATTCGTGGTGGTTCAACGAGGGGCATCTTACGGATGCAAAAATACCTGAGAAGGGCAAAAGTTGTATTTGAATGAACTTTCAGTTTCCAAGCAGTGAAGCAAGATAAGGATACTTCGCAGGGAATACAGTGGGATATTACTAATGTTTCTGTGTAGACTGCGGTTACTGAAGCTCCAGCCTCTGTTTCCTGTGCTGAATTTTGGGGATCTCATCACACTGTGCATCATGCCTTCCCTTAATCCTGCTGTAATGGTGTATCCTGTGAAACACGAAGGGAAGGAGTGAAGTCTAAATGTCACTGACACTTAGCACGTTTCAGTGTTGAGAGTTGTGTGTACCAAACGATCAAAAAGGCCTCGGTGCTGTCTGGAACGTGACACTGCTGTGTTAGTGTCCGAGAACCTCCGCTAGCTTGTTCAAGGCTGTGTAGAACAGCGTCTCTTTCTTCACTGGCACTGCTGCCAAACAAATGCCACTTCCCAAATTTTAGCTACAGGTGTTCAGGTTGCAAATTCAGACTTAATCTAGACGTGCCACAGATGAAATAATGACTCCAAAGAGGTTCCATTTGCCAGTCCTTGAGGACCGCAGCATGTGTCCCACGTCGCGTAACCCTGTTAAATGCCGGCTTCTGTGCGGGCGGCTCTCGCTCCGCTCCACGCGCTCCAGGTTGCCTGTGTGCCGGTAACAGAAAGACAGGTTACCCCGTCACAGCTCCAGGTTAAAAGATGCTCGCTGCAGTGCTGCTGTTAGGGGCTGCCCGAGGGGTTCACCTGCTGCTCCTGTCATCATCTGTGTTGGCATCCACGGTCGTTTCTGCTCCTACATGTAGCTGCCAGAAGCAGAGGTGAACCTTGCTGTTGTGTTCATATTGAAAAGCAGATTCTCCTCCTTTTTCCAGGTGACCCTTCTTCTGTTCCCCTGGCAGTCCACTTATCTTAATCTAGATTAGCTAACTCACCTAACTAAAGGTAAAATTTGAATGAAAACAGCTTCTTCGGATGCTGACAGTCACTGTGCCAAGGCCTGAGAAAACACAAAGTCTCCTCCACGCCAAGTTTTACCTCAAATCACTTAACTCAAATTTGTCTGTTTGACTTAAATGTGTACCTTTATGTTTTGGTTAGTGGCACATGCTGGTAATGAGGATGATTGGTTGAGAATGGGTACTTGCCTATGAGTAGCTCTTCCTTAATGGAATTATCGAAATTACAAAACCCGTTTTTCTTTCTCCTTTCTAAAGCTGAAGAATTCAGTTATTGTGCACCTAGAATCTTCCCTGGTTCTCTTTAAAGCTCCTGTTTTTTTCTTTCTCTCCTTTTCTCTGTCTTAATCTCCTTCTTCTCCTGCTCCTTAAGGCCTTGGAATATCTTTTCAAGTTCATTGTCCAATCTCGGATCCTTTACTCCAGAGCTACTTGTGGAATGGAAGAGGAACAGTTCCGCTCCAGCATCCAGGAGCTTTTCCAGTCCATCAGATTTGTGCTCAGCTTGGACAGCAGGAGCTCTGAGACTCTCATCTTCACCCAGGTTTGCTATTTCCCACACTAACCGGCAAACCAAAAGGCAGCTATTTTCTGCGCGGGTAGTATATATGGGCACGTGACGATGCTTAGTAGAGTTCTCCCCCTCTAACAAGCTGGTGATACTGGGGAAAAATAGCCAGTTGGTGTTACTGGACAGGAGCTTTGCACCATTTCACAGATACAGGTGAGCTGAACCGTGGACTCTCAAGAGGAAAGTGACTTGTCCCATGAGAACACAAGTTTTGCTCTTACAAAAGTAAACGGCATTTTCAAGTCTCTCGTTTATGTGTCTTACACTCAGCCTCAAGAAATTTTAAATCCTTGATTGTAGTAGCTCCAGGCAACACTCAGGGTCACAGCAGCATCACAGTGGAGAAGTTCAGCTGTTGTACTTTCAGTCAGGTAAACTTAATTCCAGCATACCCTACCATTACGTTCCGAATCACGTGTGGCGTGAGCACACGCATACCCTGATGACCCCCACGCTCACGTTTAACACGTTATTTTGAGTGTGGCCCAGATGACTTTACATAGACTTCACCTGGGCTCAAGATACTACCCGAAGTGAGTAAGGATGCAGCTGTTTTGTTTCATCTTTTGAAGCCCACTGTCCTAAATTGCATCCTTCTGTGTTTAAAAGCTTTAAACAGTCATGTCAAATGTGTTGTGTGCGCCTGAGCTCAGAGTGCCAGAATGGACCACCTGGAACTCCCTGGTATTACGAAGGTGATTGGTAATCACTAATTTACTGCTTACAGATGTTCTGAACACCTACTGTGGTTCACCAGAGAAGCAGTTGCTGTGAACGCTGCCACAAAACAGAGTGACTCCACGGGTTAGGGAAGCTGCCAGCGATGCCATCTCTTTCTTAAGAAGCTGCTGGGGAAGATTTTGAGAACAGCTGCTCTAATCTTTTATTTAATCACCCATTAGTGGGTATAATAAGATGAGCCAGGAGCGTGAGAAACCAGTGCGCAGAGTTTTGCAGGCAAAGCGACAGTGAGCGGAAACAGCGCCCTGTGAATGCAGCTGTGGAGGGTTCTTTGCTTTGGGGTTGTGTTGATCCCAACATTTGAAGATGCCATTATTTCCCCTTTTTCTCTGCATCTCTTTTTTTTTTCTCCTTCGCACTATGGTATTTCTTACTGTGGACTTCTGTAATTTGTGAAGCCTGTCCTTGTTTAATCTTTGAAAAGTTTACTTTTTGTTTCCCCCTTGCCACTCTGTTGCCCCTTGATCCCAATTGCCCCATAGGCCTCTCAGCCTGGAGGGCAGGCGAGCGGAGCTGGGACATGTGCCCCACAAAAATGTGGTGGTGCCTCAAGGCCGTCATTTAACTGTGTAAGTAACGATCCCCAGAACTGCACAAGTATTTCGTGATGGATGTTCCCAGTTCATCCCTTTTCCCTACCCCCAATGCTCTTTTCCTGCATATAAACTGGGATTTAATGTTTAAGAGTCTGGTACGTTAGTACTGGGAAATGTGGAATATTTCAGTAATAAATGGAACAGCATCCACGCGCTGAGAAGCCAGTACTGAGGCTGTATTCAAGTTCATATACGTCAGACTGTCCAGGAGAGCCAAGGAGACATGGTACTAGTTCTGGAAATCTGGACAAGTGTTAAATATCTGCAGAAATCCTTGAGGCTGGAGCAAACACTTTTCTTCACACTTGTCCTCTCACCCAGGATCTAGAGAGATGTCCGGATAGTTCTTTCCAGCACTGAGATTAAACCTGATTGTGCCCTTCCTTCCAGGCAGTTAGTTGGACATGAGTGATGCTCCAGCACAATTTGGATGTTGTACAGAAAAGGGCCCTTCAAGGAACGGATGGCATGCTGTAGCTGCTTCTGAAGACAGTTCCAGATCTCCTGAAGGGATCCCGTGCATGTCCTTGGGTTGCTACTGGACATCCTAAATCACTACAGAAATCATTCAGTTTTAGAGTAACAGTTAGAAATAAGTTTAGGAAAACTTCCGTAAGGATCTGTGGGGCCAATATTGTGGTTTCACTTGCATTTCAAGGCCAGGCTGGATGAGGCTTGGAGCAACCTGGTCTAGTGCAAGGTGTCCCTGCCCATGGCAGGGGGGTTGGAACTGGATGGTCTTTAAGGTCCCTTCCAACCCAAACCATCCTGTGATTCTATGATTTATCCCACAGATAAAGATGGTGACGGGCTTTGTGGCTGTAGCCTTCCAAGAGTAGCCTGAGCTATTTACAGGATTCATACTGGTTTATTTTGTTAGTGCATTGCATGTATGTCCCAGCAAATAGGTGCCAACACCCAGGTGGCTCTGTGGGGTTTTGTGTAGTCTGAATATTGTAACGAGACAAGATGTTGGGAGAGATAACGAGCCCAAAGAAGAAAGAGGTACATCTATATTCAGAATAAGTTAATGGGCTCTACAGTGTTAGTTGTAAAAATAACTCAGACTTTGCTCAAAGACTGTTAAATAGCTATCAGTGTTGTTTGAGAGAAGAGGTACTTTGAGGACAGACCTGGCAAAGAAGGAAGCTGTGTACTATAGGGGATTAGGAGAGGCATGCCAGGCATTGGAGCCAGCATGGGAGAGGTGCAGAAGTGCTCATGCAGTGAGAAAACAAACAGATCTGTGAGGAAAAGGAGAACTAGCGGAATGGAAGGGAATACCGATAGGTGGCGAGGCTCAGGAAGGGCAAAGCTGAACGGAGATCTGCCATGGA